TGAAGGCCCTCCCTATCATTATTGGATTCTAGTATAATCCTAGCTACTTAGTCACTGTCTAATTTGGGGTAAAATACCTTTGCCCTGTAGCGCTCATGTTCTCCTTTGGTAAAATAGATGCCTAAGAGTACAGATCATTTCAGTAAGGTATCTCCCAATCTTACAGTCCCGAAAAGTAGCTTGTGCTAGGGGAAAAGATCTTAGACTCAAAGATGTATTATAGAGACTCTTTTACTAATATTGCATGACCAAAAAAACCCCAAAGTAAAAAATATATAGATTACATGACAAAAACAAAAACAATCGTTAGAATGAAGGAAACTGTTAGTATCGCCTAGTGAAAAGGCTGATGGGCTCCACTGAGTCACAGTCATGGTATTGCACTAGAGCTTAAACTCTAAAGCACTTGGTCCTTTCCCAGTTCTATAGACCTTGCACTGATTATGGTCCTGTGGTGACTTCCTTTGTTCTCCCTCATGGATACAAAGAGTAGGGGGATGGGGGAGCGGGGAGGGAGAGAGAAAAATGAGGAGCTGATGCCAGGGGCTTAAGTGGAGAGCAAATATTTTGAGAATGATGAGGGTAACGAATGTGCAAATGTGCTTTACACAATTGATGTAGGTATGGATTATGATAAGAGTTGTATGAATTCCCAATAAAACGATTAAAAAAAAAAGTAGGGGTGTGAATCAGAGGACTCTATCAGCCTTTGAACTGTGTGTGTGCTTACAGTTTCCTTCACCTAGAATGATAGTCTGTTTTTTCTTCATCCTACTCGAGGTTTGATAAAAGAGGCTCTATAGAACACATTCAAATACGGGGTCCTTTTTCCTCTGACACAATGTTCATTATTTGAGGGACTTCAAAAAAGGTGTGCAAAATCAGATGAAAAGATAATAGAATTTTTCCATGAGCTTTTTGAAGTATAAAGGACAAAGGAAATCAGGCAATCACGATTTCCGGTAGGTCAATTCATTACTGTTGCAGAGGGCACTCTAGAAGTGGGGAAAGGATAATGGTTGAGGTAGATCCATAAGTACATGTTTTAAAATGTTACAGAATTGGCTGCTTTTAGCAAATTCCCTAATTCTTTGTTGCAGTGACGTGAAAGCACTCGCTAGGACTCTTCTTCCAGTCTCTGTAGCTCCCCTCCAGGGACTGGCTGGGAGCTTGCAAATAGAGATGTAGAGGACTCCTCAGTTTTGCCACTCTGCTGGGGCTAAAAGTAGAAACCTATGTCCAACATAATAAAACACTGCCCAGACCCGTGCCGTCCTCACAATTGTCCTGATGTTTGAGCCCATTGTTGCAGCCCCTGTGTCAACACATCTTGTCAGGGGCCTTCCTCTTTTTCACCGCTCCTCTCTTCACCAAGAATGATGTCCTCCTCTCTCCTGACAACATGTCCAAAGTATGTGAGATGAAGTCTCACCATCCTTGCCTTTAAGGAGCATTCTGGCTGTATTTCTTCCAAGACAGACATGTTTGTTCTTTTGGCAGTCCATGGTATTTTCAATACCAGGGACATCATTCAAATGCATAAATTCTTCTTTCGTCTTCCTTGTTCAATTCCAACTTTCACACATATATGATGCAATTGAAATAACTATGACCTAGGTCAGGCACACCCTACTCCTTCTTTCTCATCATTACTTTATTTATTTATTTTTAATCATTGTATTGGGGGCACATACAACTCTTATCACAATCCAAACATACATCTATGTGTCAAGCACATTTGTACATTTGTTGCCACCATCATTCTCAAAACATTTGTTTTCTACTCAAGCCCTTGGTATCAGCTCATTTCCCCCCTCCCTCCCCGCTACCCCTCCCCCATGATCTTTGATAACTTACAAATTATTATTTTATCTTATCTTACACTGTCTGACGTCTCCCTTCACCCGCTTTCTGTTGTCCATCCCCCAGGGAAGAGGTTATATGTACATCCTTGTAATCAGTTCCCCCTTTCCACCCCACTCTCCCAGTATCGCCACTCTCACCACTGGTCCTGAAGGGATCATCTGTCCTGGATTCCCTGTGTTTCCAGTTCCTATCTGTGCCAGTGTACATCCTCTGGTCTAGCCAGATTTGTAAGATAGAACTGGGATTATGATTGTCATGGGGGGAGGAAACATTAAAGAACTAGAGGAAAGTTGTATGTTTCATCATTGCTACACTGCCCTCTGACTGGCTCATCTCCTCCCCAAGACCCTTCTGTAAGGGGTTGTCCAGTTGCCTACAGATGGGTCTTGGGTCCCCACTCTCCCTCATTCACAATGATTTGATTTTTTGTTCTTTGATGCCTGATACCTGATCACTTCGACACCTGTGATCACACAGGCTGGTGTGCTTCTTCCATGTGGACTTTGTTGCTTCTGAGCTAGATGGCCACTTGTTTACCCCCCATCAACACTTTAAAGAGGTCTTGTGCAGCAGATTTGTCCAATGCGTTGCATCCTTTGATCTCCTGACTGTGTTTCCTTGATTGTGGGTCCAAGCAAGACGAAATCCTTGACAACTTAAGTCTTTTCTCTTTATCATGTTACCTATTGGTCCAGTTGTGAGGATTTAGTTGTTTTTTTGTTTTGTTCTGTTTTACATTGAGTTGTAATTCATACTGATAGCTGCAATCCTTGGTCTTCATCAACAAGTGCGGATTATGGAACAATATCATTAATATCACATGCAAGTAAAAATTTGCTGAAGATCATCCAACAATGGTTGTAGCAGTACATTGACAGGAAGCTGCCAGATTCAGAAAAGGACATGTAGCAAGAAACATTGCTGATGTCAGATGGACCTTCGCTGAAAGGAGAGAATACCAGAAAGGTGTTTCCATATGTTTTGTTGCATATGCAAAGGGATTCAACTATGGGAATCATACCAAACTATGGATAGCCTTGAGAAAAATGAGAATTACAGAACACTTTAATGTGCTCATCTGGAACTTGTACTTGAGTCAAGAGGCAGTTGTACGAACAAAGGGAATATGGCATGGTTTAAAATCAAGAAAGATGTGCACCAGGGTTGAGTCCTCTCACCAAATTTATTTAATCTATATGGTGGGCAAATAATCAGAGAAACTATGAAGAAGAATGCCACATCAGGCTCGAAAGAAGGCTTATTAACAACTTGTGATATGCAGATGACACAATCTTGCTTGCTGACTGTGAAGAGGATTTGCTGATGATAGGAATGCAAAGTTGAACACTTTAAGGAATGATAAGTGGTTGGAAAATATATCCTAGGTGATAAGACCAAAGCTGGTGATCATGTGATAGAATTTTGTATAATCAATTACTTCTTCCTTACAAATAGCTTTTTTCAACAACATAACTGGTGCTCCCATGAGCACTGAATTTTGTTGAAGAGAATATATTTTTATTTTTTAAAATCATTTTGTTGGGGGCTCATACAGGAAGAGATGATTTTTTTATAAAAGGTTATAAAAGTACATCAACAGGGAGCTGCCAGAAATTCAAGCCTGACTCAGAAGAGAGTGTGGAATGAGGCATATTCCTGCTGACATCAGATGGATCTTGGCTGAAAGCAAACAATACCAAAGAGAGGCTTACTTGTGTTTTATTGACTATACAAAGGCATTCAACTGTGTCCACCATAACTACGCTCAGTCAGTTTACACGCTGAGTAAATAATCAGACAAGTTGAAGTATACAAAGAGGAGTGGGGTATCAGGATTGCACAAAGGCTCACTAGCAACCTGTGATACGCCGATGGCATCATCTTGTTTGCTGAAAGTGAGGAGGATTTGAAGCACTTGATGATGAAGATCAAAGACAGGCTTCCGCTGTCTCAATGGAAAGAAAACTCAATGGAAAGAAAACAAGTTGTACACCTGGACCAATCGACAACATCATAAAAAAGGGAGAAAAGATTGAAACTGCTAAGGATTTCATTTTACTTAAATTCACAATCAATGTAAGCAGCAGCCAGGCAAGAAATCAGCCAATGCATTTCCCTGGCCATAATATTCTCAGTCAACTTACCTGCTTGTGAAAGCTGGCAACAGGTAAGGGAGATAAGAGAATTGATGCATTTGAATTAGGGTTTTTGGTGAAGAATATCCAAAGTCCCAAGGACTACCAGAAGAAGAAACAAATCTGTCTCACATACTTTGGGCATGTTATCAGGAGACTGGTCCCTGGAAAGCGCATCATGCTTGCTAGAGGGTCTACTAACAAGAGAAAGACCTTCACCAGAGATTGATTGGCACAGTGGCGGCAACAATGGGTTCAAACATGGGGATGATTGTGAGGCTGTCTCAGGGTCCATTCTGTGAAACAAAGGGTCACTGCGAGTTGGACACAACTTGATGGCACCTAAGGAGACACAAAACAGGAGCTCTGGTCTTGCCGTCGGGCAAGCATTGCACTGTGAACTGCGAGCTCAGCAAGTCAAGGCGACTGGCCACTCCCGGAGAACGTTGAAGCGAACTGCTCCCGGCGCGGCAGACAACATACAGTATCACTGTGAGTCGGAATCAACTCCGTGGCAGTTGTCGGGTTTTCAGCTTAACAACAATAAACAAACAACCTCACTGCCACGAAGTGGCTTCCAACTCACGGCGACCTTCTAACAAGAAAAGCCACCCAAGGAGCAAACAACCAGCAGTTGCGCTCCACGTGCGTGGAAAATTCACGTGACGGGGAATGTGCGCTGCACCTGGCACCGCACCTCTTTAATTCTCACAGTCCTGGGACTTCGGCTCTAAAAACCGCCGGGTCCAGGATGGAGAATTTGGGATCCGCGAAAGTGGCCACGTCGTTCCAGGGCACACCGCTAGTGAAGAATCGAAGGCGCCAGTTTGAGCGCGGAAGGACCCTGATCTAAGGGCCAAACGGGCTGGCAGGCGTGGGTGCGCTGACCGGCAGCGTCTCCCTCCGCCCCTTCCCTCCGAGGAAGGACCCCCGGGCCGGCCGCGCTGCGCATGTCCGCCGCGGAGCACGACGGGAAGGGGGTGGGGCCTCCGGGGGCTTTTCGCGTCAGTGGCGCGCAGCGAGCGGCTGTGTCGAAGTTTGAGATTCCTCAGGCGGCGAGGCCCGGGCGGAACTCGTAAGCGTCCTCGTTCAGCTGTGGGATTGGTCTTTATTCTGGTCCAGCCGCGCGCCTTGCCGGAGGGGGGCTGCTTGTTGGCGGGAGGCCGAAGCGCCGGGGTTGGGCCGGGCGTCTGGGCGCCGGGTCTGAGTGCGGACTCCGCCATGGTGGTCGGAACCTCCGGGCCAGGCCGAACCAGAACACGATGGTCGTGTCCTTGGGCGGGCGCCGGCGGAGCGGGGCTCGGTCCCCTGCACGCCCAGCGCTTCGCGCCGCCGCCTCGCGGGCGTCGTCCCCGGGCTTTCGGCTGTGCGTCCCCTCCTCTGCGGTCTGCGTTCGTTGCTGTAGCACGCAACGCCTCTGATCACCTGTGGCTCTGCCGGCTGCAGCCGTGGTTTTCCATCTTTAAAAAATGGCATCGTACGCGGGATCTCGGCTGAAAGAAACCAGATAATTCATACTATGAGTGAATAGTTTCGGTTTGGGCAAATTGAGTGGATTTGCGCATGAAATGGGGAGTCTAGGGTGGTGCATCTTTTATCAGTCTCTGCATCACTCCGTTTCCCTATTTTGCTTTGGTGCCCAGAGATGTAAATGCCTTGATTTGCCAGGATTCCTTTGCAAATAGTAATTTTACTAAATTTTTCGGATTATAATCTTGGCATGCTTTTCAGTTAAATTTGAGACCGAAAGAAAAGAATGGTGGATTTTTGCTTTTAGAGTTAAATCACTAGCAACATCTGACGGTGGTCTGTATTCGTCATAAGAAGCTCCAACATTTATATAATAAGAACAGTATTTAACCTGCATCAGGATACTACACCGTTAAATATTTTTGTTTTGCCCATTTAACTCTAAAGGTTGAAGATAGATCATTAAAAGCATTAAAGTCGTGAATTTACTTCTAGGGTTTTATGTGCCTAGAATCCAAAAAGGATCTGTGCGAAGTCGTCATTTTCCTAATCACTGACACCTCTTAGTCCAGTTAGTTGCCCACCAGGCTCGGACAGTTAATGAGCCCTAGGGTTTTCATTTGCTGATTTAAAAAAAATTTTTTTTCCCAGTAGATGGCCAGGCTGCCCTAATTTGATCCCACAGCTACTAGGAATTAGGAATTAAACTATATTCACCCAAGTGGTGGTAGAGGCTATTTTCTGAAGGTCTATAAACAAACTAATGCTGTGTGGGTCTAAAAAATACAACCTTTGCTATATAACAGTTATGTAATTCCATGTTTTTATTACTTTGGGGGTTTGTTATAAACACTTTAAAGATGAAATGCTTGTTGAACCCGAAGAGTGCAGTTTGAGAGCTGCTGCTGACGTACAAAGTCAAGTCCTAGGTGTTTGTGTTCAGGGACCTTCCTAGTCCACATCTGCCTTTCGGACATCGTCTCTTTCCATGATGACCCTTGCATTTTAACTTCAACAATAACCTTCCTCTTTATTTCTCAGATACTTATGCTATTGTTTATGCTGTTGTGCCTGCAGTGCCCCCTCTACCCCCCAATGCTTCTTGTTAGCTGTTCTGTAGTGGACTCCAACTCAGGTGTCCTAGAACAAAGTGCTTTCTGGCCCAATGTCATCCTTACAATCACTGGCTTATCAGAGCCCTGCATTGTGACCACTGTGCCAACCCATCTCACCAAAGGTTTCCCTCACACTTGCTGGCCCACTTCCCCAAACATGTCCTTCTGCAGTGATTGATCCCTCCTGATGGTGTATCCATAGCAAGAGAAACAGGTCTTCTGTTGTGGGCCATAGATTTCCATTGGGTGGTTTTCAGGAGTAGATTGCCAAGCCTATCTCCCTAGTCGGTTTTAGTTGGAAACCTGTGTACCTAGGGGGGTTAACAGCAGGATTTTATTTAAAGTACCTGTAGCGTCTGTCTTTATGGCAACGTGCAAGCCACCACAGTACACCAAATTGATGGGTGGTAGCAATGCTCCCTAGATACTTTCTAAAACCTAGCTCAAATTTCAATATCCCGAAGTTGTCTTGGAGCATTTTCCCCCTCCCTCATCATATCTTTTTTTTTTTAAATCATTTTATTGGTGGCTTTTACAGCTCTTATAACATTCCATACATCAATTGTATCAAGCATATTTGTACATATGTTGCCATCATCATTTTCTAAACATTTACTTTCTATTTGAGCCCTTGGTATCAGCTCCTCTTTTTTCCCTCCCTTCCCTTCCACCCTGGTAACCCCTTGACAAATTGTAAATCATTATTGTTTTCGTATCTTAAACCAACCGCTGTCTCCCTTCACCCATGTTTCAGTTGTTCATCCCCCTTTGGGTGGGGGGGTGTTATGCTTCAATCATTGCGATCAGTTCCCCCTTCCTCACTTCCGTAACCCCCACCCCCCAACCTTACACTTACCCTCCTGATAATGCTCTTCTCATTCTGTACCAGTACACATGCTCTGGTCTAGCCAGAACTGAAAGGCAGGACTGGGGTCATGATAGTGGGGGGCGAGGAAGCCTCAAAGAACCAGAGGGATATTTTGTGTTTCATCGGTGCTATATTGTGCCCTGGTTGACTCTTCCCTTCCCTGTGACCCTTCTGTGAGGGAATGTCCTATTGTCTACAGATGGGTTTTGGGTCTCTATTCCAACCCCCCTCATTCTCAACAATATGTTTTTTGTTTGTTTGTTTTGGATCTTCTGGTGTGTGTTGCCTGATTCCATTGACACCTCATGATTACACAGGTGGGTGTGCTTCTTCCATGTGGGCTTGTTGCTTCTCTGTTAGATGGCTGCTTGTTTAACTTCGAACCTTTAAGACCCCAGACACTGTATCTTTTGATAACTGGACACCATCAGCTTTCGTCACCACATTTGCTTATGCACATGTTTGTCTTCAGTGATTGTGTTAGGAGGGTGAGCATCACAGAATGCCAGGTTGTTAGAACAAAGCATCGAGGGAGGGCTTGAATAGAGCCCCAAAGTCTGTCCACTTCCTCAATGTAGTGCTATATAAATATATTTACATAGGCCTATACATCTATTTTTATGAATTAATAAGTACACACCTATGGTTATACCTCTATCCATAGCTTTGCTTCCTAGTTCTTTCCTCGTGTTTCCTTTTACCTTCCTCCTGCCCCACCATCATGCTTGCCCTTCTGCCTCATAGTAATTTCCTTTCAGCTAGATTGCTATTGCTCTAACACCACCAGGATCTCTACGTCCTCCTACTTGTTCCCCTGTCTATGGTGCTGTGTACTTACTGCTCCATTCCCCTGCCTTCTCCACCCAAGTTCCTCCAGAACCATCAGTCCCATTGCTTTCTCCTCGGGCTTGCTTCCCATGCCTGTCATGTATAGCATCGGTTCTCAACCTGTGGGTCGCAACCCCTTTGGATTGCCTAAGACCATTGGAAAACACAAATAATTTTCACAGTGTATAATTACATATTGTTTTGTGATTAATCACTGTACTTTAATTATGCTTAATTATGTTCAATTTGTAACAATGAAAATACATCCTGCATATCATATCAGATATTTACATTACGATTCATAACAGTAGCAAAATTACAGTTAGGAAGTAGCAATGAAAATAATTTTATCGTTGGGGTCACCACAACATGAGAAACTGTATTAAAAGGTCTTGGCATTAGAAAGATTGAGAACCACTGTTAAATAGGTAGGCAAAACAACAATAACAGAAAACAAAAGGTTGAATAAAAAGAAACAAAATAGAATACATAATTTCAAGTCTTGTCTGCTGACCTTTATGACTGTCTCCCCATCAGTCCTGGGGGGTTCCAGGAACTGCCTCTCCTAGCCTGGAGTCTATTTTGGGGCCTCTTAAGGGGGTTTGTGGCTTTGCTTTGCTCCTGTTGCTGATCTGTTATGTTCCCTTCTTGGCTGTGTACATATTTAGATGGTTATACTTACCATACTCACTTCACTCCACTCGCTGCCCTTGAGTGGATTTCGACTCATAGCAACCCTATAGGACCAGGGTAGAACTGCCCCTGTGGGTTACCAAGACTGTAACTTTTTTTTTTTTTTTTGCTTTTCAGGATTTTAATTTTTTTACGTTTTATTAGTACTTCATCTACATCATACAATTCAATAATTCAGTCATATCAAAAAGAGTTGTACATTTGTTGATCATATTCAATTCTACAACATTTTCTTCTTGAACTTATTCCTGTAATTTATTTTCTCTTTAAAAAAAAGCATTTTATTAGGGGCTCTTACAGCTCTTATCACAATCCATACATCCATCCATGTGTCAAGCACATTTGTACATATGTTGCCATCATTTTCAAAACATTTTCTACTTGAGCCCTTGATATCAGTGCTTCATTTCCACCCCTCCCCACCTTCCTCCCTCATGAACCCTTGATAATTTATAAAAAATTTTTCCCACGTGTCTTACACCGACCACTGTCTCCCTTCACCCACTTTTCTGTTGTTCATCCCCCTAGGAAGAGATTATATGTAGATCATTGTGATCAGTTCCCCTTTTCTCCCCCCACCTTCCTCTTACCCTCTTGGTATCTCTATTCTCATTATTGGTCCTGAGAGGTTTATCTGTCCTGGATTCCCTGTGTTTCCAACTCTTATCTGTAGCAGTGTATATGCTCTGGTCTAGCCAGATTTGTAAGGTAGAATTGAACTCATGATAGTGGAGGGGAGGAAGCGTTAAAGAAATAGAGGAAAGTTGTATGTTTCATTGGTATTGTACTGCACCTTGACTTGCTCGTCTCTTCCTTGTTATCCTTTTGTAAGGGGATGTCCAAATAGATGGACTTTGGGTCTCCACTCCACACTCCCCCTCATTCACAATGATTCAATTTTTTGTTCTGGGTCTTTGATGCCTGATACCTGATCCCGTCAACACCTTGTGATCACATAGGCTGGTGTGCTTCTGCCATGTGGGTTTTGTTGCTTCTCAGCTAGATGGCCACTTGTGTGTCTTCAAGCCTTTAAGACCCCAGACAATATATCTTTTGATAGCTGGGCACCATCAGCTTTCTTCACCACATATGCTTATGCAT